GCTTGCCTGTAATTTTGCATCAGCACGATCAACAGCCGCCATCGTTCCCCAGCTGTTAAAAAGCGACTGGCTTAATTGAAGGTTTAATGCAGAAGGGTTTGTTACCTTTGATTGTGATACAGGGCTGGAAGTTGTTTCCTCTCTTTGTCGTGTATGAGAAGCGGAAGCAACAACCTGTGGACGAAAGCCAGACATGGCCTGAGGAACGATTTCGGCCTCTACGTATTGTTTTTGAGCACTCACTTTTAGGTCAGTATTATTGTGATAAGCTGCCGCCAAAGCCATTTTAAACGTATCGGATTTTTGATTCGTTTTTTCCCCTTCTTCTGCTGCTTGCCCTACTGCACAGCTCCATAAAAATATCGAAAGGCTCCAGGTGAGTGTACGCATTAATTATTCCTTCCTTGCTGCAATTCTTGCCATTGGGAAACCCCACCTGACAAAGAATAAACTTTTTTAAAACCTTGGTGTCGTAGAAAAAAACAAGCCTTTAAACTTCGTCGTCCATGAGCACAGATTAAAACAATTGGCTCATCTTTGCTAGGCAGTTTCTCTTTCATCTCATATAACTGATCCAAAGGAATGTTATAGGCTTCTTTAAAAGAGAAAAATTCTAACTCTTCTGCATTCCGAACATCGACTAAAACATGCGAACGGCTTTCTTGTCGCCAAGAATGTAGCTCTTCCACTGAAAGTTCAAAGTCTTTTAAAGACTCAACCATATTAGGCTTCTCGTCCTTCGATTTTAGAAAAAACACTCTTAAAGCAAGGTGCAGACAACAATGCTAAAGCAGAAACACCCAGAGCAACATAACCAATTTGTTCAAAAATATTTGTATAGATTGGTAGGCTTACAGCAGCATCAATCTGACCATCTCCACTATCTGGAATAGACATTAGTTGAGCAATCAAAGCGGCAATATGGTGCGCAAAAGAAATGCTAAACATTAAAGCCCCCATCAGAGCAGATTTCATGTGTTTTGGAGCTAACTTTGTTGTCATAGACAAACCAATAGGAGACAAACAAAGCTCCCCTGTTGTTTGAAGAAGGTAAGATAAAGTAATCCACAATAGAGATGTTAAAGCCATACTATTGGCAAAACCAGCACTCCAAGCCAGAATTAAAAATCCAAAACCTAGCTGAAAAAGTCCTAAAAAGAATTTTACAGGCGTTTGGGGATCAAGCCCTCGCTTTCCCATATTTTTCCAAATCCAAGAAATAAGAGGCCCAAGAGCTACAATAAAGAAAGGGTTTAAAGATTGAAACCAACTTGTTGGCACTTCAAAAACAGAAGGTGTCCAGGCAAAAACACCTGCTTCGAAATCAATTGTAAATGGCAGCATCACCATTCGGTCAACGTTTCGTTCTGTAAACAAGTTTATAGACGTTCCTGCCTGTTCAAAAAAGGCAAAGAAGGTCATGAAAAATAAACTCATCACCAAAAAAGCAACAACATTTTTTCGCTCTTGTGCCCCTAAACGCAAAGCAGAAGACAACAACCAAACAATTGTCCCAACACCCGCAACAGGCATAAAATATTCCATTGCAGAATAATGATAAACACCTACCACCAAAATAGGCACTACTATGAATGAAGAAATATAGGCTAAATTCTCAAGAGTTATGCCAGACCATTTCTCTTTTAGTTTTTGTTCATCAGGTGCCTTACCTTTATCACCTAGTTTGCCTTGCTCTCGCCAAAAAATGACAAGTCCGACCAACATACCAATACCCGCCAGACCAAAACCATAGTGCCAACCATAAACTTCTCCCAAATACCCGCACATTAAAGGTGATAAAAATGCTCCAATATTGACTCCCATATAGAAAATCGTAAATCCTGCATCTCGGCGAGGATCTTTATGGCGGTAATATTCCCCTAACAATGTTGAAATGTTCGCCTTAAAAAAGCCATTTCCAGAAATAATAAAACCAAGTCCTATATAAAAAGCTTCCAAAGAAGGAATTGCCAGAGCAAAGTGGCCAATTGCCATCAAAATACCTCCTAAGAAAACAGCTCGACGGTTCCCAATAACTCGGTCTGCCATCAAGCCACCAACGATTGGCATCGCATAAACAAGAGCCATGTAGGCCCCATAAATTCCATAGACTTTTTTATCATGAAAAAGAAGCTCACTCGTCATATAAAGAACGAGCAAGGCACGCATTCCGTAAAAACTAAACCTCTCCCATAATTCAGTAAAAAATAAAACCGTCAGAGAGGGAGGTTGTTTCAATGTTTCATCTTTTGTTGTTTTGTAAGGCCGCGCGACAACCATTATTTTTTCCTAATATTTTTTAAAAAACTATGGGGGATTTCAACGAATTTTGCTGCTCTAAGCAAGTTATTTTCGTCCATAATCTACAAAAATAAGTTAACTAACTTATTTACTATACTAATTTATTAACCCCCAAACGCCATTTTAAAGAGTTTCCTTCTGCTCCTGCTTTACCTCTTAAACACAATGTGTAAGCACGATGATTTTCATATAAACCATCTGTATGAACACGTTCTAAAATCTTTAAATCACAGGCCCCTTTTATACGAAAACGCCATACTTGGCCTCGATTTGACCCTAACAAAACACCTTGACGATTCTGCTCTAAGCCTGTTCGAACAATCGCTGGCCCTAAATCTATTTCCATTTGAAATGATGTCCCTTCTGGGGCAAAAAAAACATCTTCTCCCCTTAATCCTTCACCACTTTCTTCTAAGAAAAGGGTACGCTCATGTCGATATCTTTTTCCTCGATGAAGAAAACTATACCCTCCTTCTAGCACCCCTCCTTGCACTTCATCTATTCGATGAATTGGCAAAGCATCAACAGTTTTTAATGCGGAAAGCGGCACATCAAATACACTATCTAACCCTGCAGCCAGTAAGATTCGTTGAGCGCCCACACTAAATTCACAGTCCATAGGATATTGGCTATCAACCAATAATACAGCACGTCCTCGAGTCATTCTATAGAACCCATCACTAGAAGATAAGCCTTCCATACGTGGACGCACATGAGACTGAGTAAACAAAGCATCTAAAAGACGTTCTTCTCGTTCTGGGCTTTTATGGAAAAGTGCTATAATTCCATCACCATGTCGTAAAAGACGTAAGTTGTGAACCAAGCTTTCAATCGCAGATGTCATATGAGGAGGCACAGCCCTTCGGACATGATTTAAAATAAGGCGTAGTTCTAAAAGCTTTTGTAACAACAACACCTGATCTTCTATGACTCCCCATTTATGTCCACCAGAAATCAAAGGAACAAGTTCTTGTAATCCTTGATCTAAAGACATCAAACTATCATGTAAGTCCTCTTCTTGGCAGTGAGGCAAGACAAGCAACAAAATCCGATACACTGTTTGACATAGGATTCTTTCGTCCCGATTTGGAGAGGAAAGACCAACTTTCTCTAAGTGCTCCATTTGACGTTGAAAACTCTCAAAAAGGCTAAGACGTAATGAATCTTCTGCACTGACAAGAAAAAAATCATAAAGTCCAACCCAACTGGCTAAACGCTGTGCAACAAGCTTTGGGTGCCAAAAACAAGGATCCCAATATCCATAACGAGACAACCAAATATGTGTAAAATCTCGGGCTAAGCGCCGCGCAGGACTTCCTCCCACCTCACGCAAATGAAACAACCATTCAAAAGAATGTAAAAAACGAAGGAGTTCGTCATCTTCTCCTTCATCCCAAATACGGGACATATCATAGCGTTTCCCAGAAAAATGCAGCACGCCTGTGATCATTTCTTGCCCACGACGCAATAAACCTGGCCATGGAGCAGACGGAAAAGATCGCAACTGGCTAGGCGCAAGACCTTTCCCTAAAGAGCGTGCATAAAATGGTGTTCGGCCTAAAATTTTCAACCCCTTATGCCGGACTTTTTCACGTGTAGAAGGGGACCATTGAGCTTTTAAAGAAGGCATAGCTTTTGATGACATTTACAAAACACCACGAAGCTCTTGCATCGCTTTTTGATAACACCCACTCGGGTGATTAAAAATTGATGTTCCCGCAACCAGAATATCTGCTCCCGCATCACGAACTTTAATAGCCGTTTCTGGTGTAATCCCCCCATCAACTTCCAATAAAATATCTTTTGAAGATTGGTCGATCAAAGCACGTACTTGACGAATTTTTTCCAGTTGAGAAGCAATAAATTTTTGCCCACCAAAACCTGGATTTACCGTCATCACAAGAATAAGGTCCAATTGATCCAATAAGTAAGGAAGCATCTCTATGGAAGTGCTTGGGTTCAAGGCGAAACCCGCCTTACACCCCAGAGAACGAATCGTCTGCAGAGTACGATGAACATGTGGGCCTGCCTCTGGATGAATCGTCATAGAATGAGCCCCAGCCTTTGCAAAAGACTCTAAGTGATCATCTACAGGAGAAATCATCAGATGGACATCTAAAGGCAACGTTGTATGGGACTTTAAAGAGTGTAAAATTGCAGGTCCCATTGTAATATTAGGAACAAAGTGACCATCCATAACATCAACATGCACCCAGTCTGCTCCCTTTGCTTCTAGGGCACGGACCTCTTCACCTAAACGTGAAAAATTTGCAGATAAAAGAGAAGGGGCTATAGAAACTGTCATTCGTTACTTTAAATTAAAAAATATTCTTGAAACATAGTGTAATGCATTCTGCTTACTGCTTCCATGAATTCACGCACTTAAACTATCAAAAACTTTATCCCCCAAAGGACGGCCTTGTATAAACCTTTGATACCAAAGGGCATAAACAAGGAGAGTCCAAACTCCCATTCCTTGGTCTTTTGTTGCAGAGCGAATGGTATTCTGCATTTCTGAACGATTACAAAGTCCCTCAAATGCTTCATGGTCAGGAAGCAAATTCGCCAACTGCACTTTGTATTTTAAAACCCAGTGCCCCACCGGTACATTAAATCCCCTTTTTTTTGTAAAAGGTTCCGCTAAAGGAAGATCTTCTTCCATCCATTGCCTTAAAATCCACTTTCCCCATTGGCGCCTCACTTTTAAATGATCTGGCAACCCATAAGTGGCTTGTGCAACGATCGGATCCAGGAAGGGCGTTCGCCCTTCAAGTGAATGTGCCATTAAGCATCGATCTAACTTTGTTAAAAGGTTGTTCGGCAACCATGTTGCAATATCAATTGCCTGGGCCCATTGGAGCCTTGTATGCGTGGAACTTTTAATTTTTTGTGCACAATCAGACAATCGAGAACGCCATATATTCTCATAAGATGAAGTAAAAATTTTAGTCCCTGAAAACAATCCTTTTTGACGCATAATACGTCCCCCCATCCATTGGGGCCATTTTACTTTTTGATAACGGCGATACCCTGCAAGAAGCTCATCACCTCCCTCACCACATAAAACAACTTTCAATTCTTGAGCCGCAATTTTCGCCATCTTAAATGTAGGCATCATTGCAGGATCAAAAATTGGATCATCTAACGCTTCAATAACCTGTGGTAAAAGAGTCCAAAAATCATTTTCCGAAAAGGTGAGTTCTTCGTGCTCTGTTCCAAAATGAGCCGACAACTTTCGAGCTGCTACACGCGCATCATGAACATCCCCATTTGAAAATCCAATTGTAAACGTCCGAACAGGTTTTGCACTTTCACGACTCATTAAAGAGAGAACTGTCGCAGAATCAAGCCCACCAGAAAGAAACAATCCGTAAGGAACATCTGAACGTAAATGCACATGAACACTGTCTTTTAAAGATGATTTCAAGCGCTCTAAAGCCTCCTCTTGACTCAGTTTCTGAAAATCTGCCGGAAGTGACTGTGTAATAAAGGCATCCACGATGGTGCCGTTACGAACGACTAATGTTTCCCCGGGTTGCAATCTTTTTATTCCAGAAACCGGTGTTTGAGCTTCCGTTCCGTAACGCAGTTGCAAAATTTCCGAGATAGAGTCTAAATCAGGATTTCTTGAGCACCAACCATTATCAAGAAGTGTTTTGATCTCGGACGCGAATGCTACGCCACGTTCATCTTCCATATAATAGAGAGGTTTGATCCCAAAAAGATCACGGCTTAGAATCAAAGTTTCTTGAGCAGAATCATATAATGCAAAAGCATACATCCCACGCAGTTCTTGAATAGCCTCCTTTAAATCTGAAGATAGATTATACGCTGCAAGAATGATTTCACTATCAGATTGGGTTTGAAAATGATAATGACTGCCCCAACGTTCTCTAAGTTCTACGTGATTGTAAATTTCTCCATTCGCAATAAGCCATTGCTGTTTGTCATTAGTTAGCGGCTGAGCACCCCCTTCTAAATCGATGATAGACAATCTTGTATGCGTCAGCCCAACATCTTGATGAGTAAAAAAGGTTTGGTCATCTGGTCCCCGATGTAGAAGGGCTTTTGAAAATCTCTTCAAAAGCTTTTCATCAACAGATTTTTTGTTTTTTAGATAAAGCCCCGCGATTCCACACATATTGCTCTATCGTCCTTTCTTTTTTTGTCGGCAAATTGTTTCAAAAAAGTCTAGATACTTCTTCACAACAATTTCTTCTGTATATTTTGATAGAAATTCTTCATATCCCTTTTGAACCATTTTTTTTGTTAAGTCTTTATCCTGAATCACCCGGTTCAGAGAGGCTGACAGGCTTTCAATATCATCAATATCGACTAACAGACCTGTTTCTCCATGACGAACCATTTCTCCTGGCCCAGCACTTCGAGCAACGACTAAAGGTTTCTGATACCCCCAAGCTTCCAAAGTCACTGTACCATGAGGTTCTATCCGCGAAGGAAACGCCAAAATGTCTGCCGCTTGAATCAAGCACGCTGTCCTTGTTTGCCACCCTAAAAAGCGCACCCGGTCTTCAACCCCTTCAAAACGCGCCAAACGTTCCAGCGCCTCTCTTTCTTCTCCTTCACCCGCAATCCAAAGATAAGCTTTTGGGATCTTTGCAAGGGCTGGGATTAAAATATCAAAAGCCTTATCAGAATGAAGTCGACCCAAGGCTAAGATTAATGGCGCTGACTTTGGTGTCTGAAATTCCGACCGCACTATAGGGGAGACTTTTTTAGGAAGAAATGCAAAGTTCTGGATATAATGGATTTGAGAGGGGGACCAATGACCTTTACTTAAGTGATTGACAAGACCCTGGGTAATACCAACCACATGGTCACAATGCTTATAATACTTTAAAGGATAATACCCCCCAAGCCGAGCAACATGCAGAAAGTCCCCTGGGGGACAAAGGTGTGTTGCACGGCTCATCCATGTCATAACAATGTCCGGTTGATAGTCCCGTATCAAATTTTTATAAGCCTGACGGGTTATCCAAGGCGCCCATTTTGAAAAAGAGACCTCATGTAGAATAATGCCCCCTTCTTTTAAAGCTTGACCACGATGATTACTCGGTTTCATTAAAACTTTTTGATCAAGTCCAGCACGATGAAGCGCGAGAACAAGGCGTGTAAAAAAGTTTTCTGCCCCACCATGCGCACCACCTGCAATTGCTTGAAGAACTTTCACTTCACAGCCCCTTTTTGCTCTTTCGCAAACTTTTGCACACTTGAAATCACATGGTCGAGGGACAACCCTCCCATAAGATTTTTCCCCATGTTCTTCTTTTTCATTAACTCTTCTACTGTCTCTACAGAACGGATAGCCAAACTTTTTGCTCCCCACGGTCCATAATTTTTTTCATTGCTTGGACCAAATAAATCAACGGTTGGCACATTTAAAGCAGATGACAGGTGCATAAGCCCTGAATCATTTCCTATAAAAAGAAAACACTGAGAAATACATGCAGCCGTATCCAAAAGGTGCGAATTACCTTGTACAGGCCAATGAAATTCTTGAGGAACCAACGCCCATAATTTTTTTAATTTCTCTTGCTCCGTAGGACTACCAAAAAGAATAATCTTTGCTGTTGGGTATTCTTTTAACAACGCACTAATCAATTTGCCAAATTGTTCCATAGGCCATTCTTTTAGTGGCCACCCAGCAACGGCGGAAAAACCAAAAATAGGTCCTCCTGCTTGCTTCGCCCATTGTTTTGCTTTTGTCAAACGCTCCTGCCGAATCCACACATAAGGAGAAGGGACAGGATCAAATCCTAATACTTTTGCAATAACTTCTACACGGTGGCCTTGCCTTTTCGTAGACCGCCAAACATATCGACGTTTTGTTTTTAAAAGATACGAAAGAATAGAGCCTCTTAAATCAACAATGATATCCCATTGAGTACCAGAACACTTTTTCCATAAATTCCACCAACGCCTTAATCCTCTTGGGCCTTCAAATGGGATGATCTCTTTCAATCCTGGCACATCTTTAAAAAGTGCAGCTGTTCGTGCGCCACAAGCCACTGTGACAGAAATATCTTCTGTCCTTTTTTTTAAAAGTGCGTGCAAGGGACCACTTCCCAAGATTGCATCCCCTAAACAGCTAGAAGTCACATAGAGGATTTTCATATGGTCTCCAAAAGATTATGATCATTTCCACGGTTGTGTCACAGAGTTAAAGATTTCTCAAGTATGTCACTTGTTTCTATTCCTGATCGTTCTGTTTTAGCCCTTCAAGGCACAGATATTCTTCCTTTTCTTCAAGGGCTTATCACACAAGATATTCTCCCTCTTCAACCAAAAAAAGCTTTATACACGCTTCTGCTGAATCCCCAAGGGCGTTATGAAAGTGACTTCTTTATTATCCACCATGGTAATAAAATTATTTTAGACATACCGAAAGCCCATCTAGAAAGTTTAAAGAAAAAGCTGAGCTTTTATAAAATGCGCCGTCCTTTAGAGATTTTTGATGTTAGTGATCAATGGGAATTTTATGCTTTTTTTAGTAATGAAGTATCACCACCGCCTCTTCCTGAAGGAGCCATTGCCTTTGATGATCCAAGGCTTCCCGACATTGGCAAAAGAATTTTATGGCCCACATCAGCCCTTAAACCAAAACTTGACCAACAAGACACCAAATCTTACGAACATCACAGGCTTACACTCGGAATCCCGGAAGCTGGAAAAGACCTTATTCCAGGCAAAAC